TGTAACATGTGTGTAATGTGTGTAACATGTGTGTAATGTGTGTGTAACATGTGTAATGTGTGTGTAACATGTGTGTAATGTGTGTAACATGTGTGTAATGTGTGTGTAACATGTGTAATGTGTGTGTAACATGTGTGTAACGTGTGTGTGTGTGTAATATATATAACATGTGTGTAACATGTGTGTAATGTGTGTGTAACATGTATAAAGTTTGTGTAATGTGTGTGTAATATATGTAACGTGTGTAACATGTGTAACGTGTGTGTAATGTGTGTGTAACATGTATAACGTGTGTAATATGTGTGTAACGTGTGTGTGTATAATATATGTAACGTGTGTAACATGTGTGTAACATGTTTAAAGTGTGTGGTAAGATGTGTGTAACGTGTGTAATATATGTAACGTGTGTAACATGTGTGTAACGTGTGTAATGTGTGTGTAACATGTATAACGTGTGTGTAATGTGTGTGTGTAATATGTGTAACGTGTGTGTGTAACATATGTAACATGTGTGTAACATGTGTGTAACATGTGTAACATGTGTGTAATATGTGTGTAACGTGTGTAACATGTGTAATGTGTGTATAATTTATGTGTAACACGTGTGTGTAACATGTGTAACGTGTGTGTAATATGTGTTACGTGTGTGTAACATGTGTAACGTGTGTGTAATATGTGTGTAACGTGTGTGTAATATATGTAACATGTGTGTAACGTGTGTGTAACATGTGTAACAAGTGTGTAACATGTGTAACAAGTGTGTAACATGTGTGTGTGTAATATATGTAACATGTGTGTAACATGTGTAATGTGTGTGTAACATGTGTAATGTGTGTGTAATATGTGTAACGTGTGTGTAACGTGTGTAATGTGTGTAATATGTGTAACGTGTGTGTAACATGTGTGTAACGTGTGTGTAATATGTGTAACGTGTGTGTAACATGTGTAACGTGTGTGTAATATATGTGTAACGTGTGTGTAATATATGTAACATGTGTGTAACATGTGTGTAATGTGTGTGTAATATGTGTAATGTGTGTGTAATATGTGTAATGTGTGTGTAATATGTGTAATGTG